CAGAAAGCTGCTTGGTGAGTGTTCCCTAAAAGCTTTTGATCCATGGCAGGCTGCAAAGTTTGATGCTGAGGATATCCACATTTTCCATCTCAGCTGAGAAATTTTGTTAAACTTATTGGAACTTCAATTCTTCCCCTGAAATTCCTTGCATCACATAGTTCATAGACTAAACCGCCTGGAATATACTTGGGCTGAGATCCCACATCAAGGAGATGGATCAAGGAGATCAAGATCCCAGATCTAGGCGTGCAACTTACATGTACACTCATGGAGTTACATGCTGCTTGTGGATTAGTGAAGGGAAAACCCATAATAATAATAATAATAATAATAATAATTATTATTATTATTATTATAAATTTTTATTTGTGGCCCGCCCCTCTGCAAGGCAATCGGGGCGGGGGACAACAGCATTTAAAATAAAACCCACACAAGTTAATGTGCAAAGAACTGGGGAATGCATGATTACAGTGAGTAGTTTGTATCTGCATGGCCAGTAGACAATGGTACCCCATGTGCAAAGGCATACTTTGCTTCTGCTTCTGCAACCTTCCACTGAATGTGATGTGATGCCATGGCCAAAACAGTACAATCACATGTGTCAGGAAATGTACACATGCCTAAGTCACTAACAGGATGCCATCTTGTCTAATTTTGGAATCTAAGTGTAATTATTGGGTCTGGTTAACACTTAGATGAGATAACACCAGAGAATACCGGGGATTATTGAACCATGGAAAGGTGTATATGGAAGGGATTCCAAACCTTACCTAATCCAATTCCTTGCCAGTATAGGAATCCATGGCCAAGGAACCCCCAACAGATAACCATCCCACTTTTATTTAAAGACTTCCATGAAGCTGAGTCCATCAAGCCAATACAGTAGATTCCAAGCCAATCTACTGTTCTTCCAAGCACTCTGATAATCAGGAACTGGCTCCTAACATTTTGCTAAAACCTATTTTCTTACAGTGGATCAATGGTGTTACTAGGGTTGATGTCACCCATTGCAGTCGCTCATGGTGTTAACCCCAGGCTCAGAGCCAAGGGGCCAATGGTCCTTCAACAGTAGATCAGGACACTATAGAAGAGAAAGATTCTAGTCTACTTGCTGCAGATGGACCGGGGTGCCTGAATGGACTGCCAAATTGTTCCGCTCTAACAGAATCACAGAATCCTAGAGCTGGAAGAAACCCCAAGGGCCATCCAGTCCAACCCCATTCTGCCATGCAGGAATCCACAATCAAAGCACCCCGACAGATGGCCATCCAGCCTCTGTTTCAAAACCTCCAAAGAAGGAGACTTTGCCACAAGCTGAGGGAGTGTCTTCCATTATTGAACAGCTCTTACTATCAGGAGGTTCTTTCTAATGTTTTGGTAGAATCTCTTTTCCTGGAGTTTGAATCCATTGAGGCTCCATTGTGTCCTATTCTCTGGAGCAGCAGAAAACAAGTTTACTCCATCCTCAGTATGATATCCCTTCAAATATTTAAACATGGCTTTCCTGTCAACCTTCTCTTCTCCTGTTTAAATATACCCAGCTTCCTCATGGGGCATGGTGGTTTCCATAACTTTCACCTGCTTCACTCACAAGTCCCAAAGGGGTCCAGGCACCATTCAGTGATGGGAAAGGTCTCCATGGATGCCAACAGCCTCCTGGCCAGCCTCCTCTCCTCCTCCAAAAAGACTGACTGGCTTTGTCCCAGGACTTTCACTCCCGACTGGAAGAAAGGCACTCCTGGCTGAAGGGTCACCCAATGTGGTCCACATGCCCTGCACCCCCAACAGAAATGCTAGGAAGAAAGCACAACGTGACACATGGGATTGTGTTGCGAGGGCATTCTGCGCTGCTTTGACGGGAAGGCTGACTGACTCGATAGGTATAGGATGGTGAAAAGACCTTTCTGGGGCTTAATTAGCTCTGAAATAATGTTCAATCCGATCGATTTCTATCAAGGGTTTCCCTCAAAGGCCTGATGGTCTAGGACAGGGGTAGGCAACCTTTCCCCTTTAAGGGCCGAGGGACTTCACCTCCCAGAATCCCAGGAGCTATTGGCCAACATGGGACTATTATAGGCCAACATGGCTGAGGCTTCTGGGAGCTGAAGTCCCTCGGCCCTTAAAGGGGAAAGGTTGCCTACCCCTGGTCTAGGTGGTGGAATAAAGACAAGGCCTTAGCAATGCCATAAACAAACCAACTGACAGGGAACTAAGCTGATCAATCCATGCTGGTTCCTTTATGACTTATATTTGCCATAAAAGTATATGGGGCTTTGGCCTTGAATTGCAATAGTGCTGGCTGGGGATGCCAGGATTCACAGTTTCATAGCCTCCAACATTTCACAGATGAAACCCAGGGCATGTGCCGCCAAGTAACATCAGAACATGGTCAGGATGGCCACAGTTATTCATGGGGAAGAACAGAACAGCCAGGAGGGGCTGCAGCAGCTTGCTTTTATCTGAGACTACTGGGAAGGGCACGATTTTACCTCCTCTTCTTCTTACCCCACCCCTTGAATTAACTGAGTAAGTAAGCAGAGGACAAAGAGGTGGATGGGAGGAGGAGGGAGAAACTGGGACATTTTAAAAGCAGTTTTAAAAGTGGAATGGCAGAAGATTAATTAGGACTCTGCTGCCCAATTGCAACAGCTAAGGTCTAATAATGCAGCTTGACACTGCTTTAACTGCTGTGGCTCAATGCAGTGGAATTCTGGGATGTAGTTTTGTGAGACATTTAGCCCTCTCTTCTGTCAGAGAGCCCTGGTGCCACAACAAACTACCGTTCCCAGGATTCCATAGGACGGACCCATGAGAGTTAAAGCAGTGTCAAACGGCATTTTTTCTGCAGTGCAGATTAGACGTGAGACATGTAAAAACCAACAGCCGAGGGAAGGTTGCTTTGATACAGCCCATCATTCTCCTACCCACCCAACCCCTAGGCTTGGTCTGAACCATTGTCCATGTGGCATCTACCACAATTTAAAGCCGTCTATATTTCTTGGAAGTCTCGCCAATCCACATCAGAGCATTTTTGCCTTGACTGAAGAGCCATAATGCAAGGGCCCAATTCTGTCAGGATCCCTTTTTGTGCTCTCATTTAATAGGTGCACTTCTGCAGCAACTGAGATGGCTGCTTTTAGAAATCCTCCTCTTTGCAAGGAGTGCAGAATGCATGCTGGAGTGACCCATGTGTCCAGCAAAACAAAACACCACACCAGAGACCTTCAGAGTATCTATTATGGTGAGGAGTCCTTTCCCACCATCTTTGTATCCTTGCAGAAATATTTATTGGTATTTGTGTCTTGGCTGAGAAAAGAGGTTTCTCCAAAAACCCCTCGGGAAGAAGAAAGGAAGAACAATGTTTTTCTACAATTTTCTCCCAGTATTTGCACATTCCCCATGTGTTCTGGGAATTATTTTGTGCAGAAGTAACATGTGGTTGTTCAGTACAAGAAATGCTGGGGCTGGATGGTGCAAAAATCCCCTATTTCTGCACTGAGGGATAAAACTTGGAATACAACTTGTCAAGAAAACCCCATGGCTTTCACCTTAGGGTCTCCATAAGCCATAAACAGAAGCCAGTGTAGTGTAGCAGTTTGAGCGTTGGACTCTGACTCGGGAGACCAGGGTTCGAATTCCCACTCAGCCATGGAAACCCAATGGGTGACCTTTGGCAGGGCACATTTGCTCAGTCTAAGAAAACACCATGATAGGGTTTTCTATCCTAGGCTTCAGGGTCATCAAAAGTCAGAAATGCTTGAAGGCACACAAGAATACAACAACCTAGAGATGTCTTAAAGGCACAGAACAAGAAGAGCAAGCCTTGCAGGGCCATCTGTCTGAGCTGTTCCAAGCGCTAAAGGTGAGGTTAGACAAAATGCTCCCATTGTGATCATAGGAAGATAAATATCCCACCCAACTCCCATTGTGATCATAGGAAGACCTCAAAGGCCTTCTCTGAGTTATTGGGTAAGCACTTGGCTTCACTCAGATGTTTATGTTCAATTCAAATAGCAAACGCTTCCAAGATTCTGCCTAGTGACATTTGTTTCAAGAACATTGCATTATTGCAGCCTGAGGACTTGGGCCTGGGAAGTCCATTCACTGGCTCATCCCCTGAGAGTGATGGGGAAAGAAACAACAGGGATGTT